TTCAGCTCAGCTCAGGCCTACTCAGAAGCAAATATACAGTCTCTGAAACTATTGAAACTATGATATTCAATGATAATGTTCCAATGGGAGTTGTAAAGATGACACAACCAATTTAATTAATCATTATCACACGCAGCGAATGAGATGGTGTGTTTGTGCAATTTGTTTTCAGAATTTATTGCAGTTATTTGATTGTACACAAAGGAGTGAATTTCATATTTAAAAAATTGTCACTGTTCTAGTAGATCAATAAAACTTGAAAATTTCTTTATATGGAATTTTAAGCATTTGTCCAATATTTTTTTTCATCCCTACTTGACTTCTTTGATGTAAATGTTTGGACCATTTTTCGATGGTAAGTGGATACCAACAATGGGTATATTTTCGCCAGTTTGAGTATAAAAATCATCGCGAAATTTTACAGCGTTATCGTATCCATTCGGTTTATCGATGAAATAGAAAAATGTCTCAATTGGTATTGTTTTCGTGTTGTTTTCATCCCAGCCTTCAACTCGAAGTTCAATATTGAAGATTGCAAATTTTGTACCATCCTATAAGTGAGAATTTGCTTGCAGAGCTAACGAAAAATTGCCCACTGCCGTTGTCTCTTTTGACGCATCAAAACCGCATTGGAAAAGAAAACGATAAACTCCAATACATCGCCCGTGAATTTTTTGAAATGTTCGACCCATTGCGGTAAAGTCGAAATATTTTGAGCATCGCACTGTTGACTCAATCCTGTTGTATCATTTCTATTTTTGCCGCAACCACGATCCACACGCTTATCGGTACCTGCATCGACTGGGAATGTGCACAGCACTTTTTGGGTCGTCTTGTGACTTGGCGTTTTTAAATGCGGATAAATGATGAATCCAGCATCATAATAACCTTTTCCCAACCATGAAAATGGATGATCACGTCGTAAGAAGCCAAATGAAAATGAATTCTTTTCCTTATCCCCTGGTTTCAAGCTCCACGCAAATCGCTGTCGTCCATCCAAACGAATGCCACGGATAATAATTCCCGAACACATGTATACTGGCTGCTTCACATTCCGAGCATTAAAACATTCGTTGGTCTCATTGTTGAGACGTTGCGTCAATTCGTCGGCAATATTTGCAGCGCATTTTGTTATCAAAAAACTAATCACAACTAACATACTTAGTTTACCCAACGGCATTGTACAAAGACAGTTGCTTGTTTTATGCATTAAATTATCAAAATTAGTGTTACTTAGTGAGGAATCACACGCTTACATTCAGTCACTATCGATTACACTAAGACTACAGAACAGAAGTGACTCTACGAAGTCTTAGCTCATGAGCTTTTATTCAGCGTTCATCGATTCCATTCTTCAACAAGTTGATAAGAAAGAACATTTTTGATAATTATCGCCAATTGTCTCGGCAAGACATCGTTCACACGCATATGCGCAAACAGTTTGCACCGAAATTAACACGTGCGCCACGTGAATGTATGACGATTCGCTTTTTCGGCGACAAAATTCTAAACAATAATGTCTAATCCGATGGGCCGATAGAAACGTCTTCAGATCTGAACACAAGATCAATTACTAAAGAATTATATCATGTGTTTTGAAAAACGTCCAAAGTATCGAATTCATTCATCTTTCCCTTAGATTTTCTGTGTACTAACAAGCTTACCTGATTGCATCAGCAATTTACCCAACAACATTGGCCACACGTGTCACAGTTGTGTGACACGCTTCGCTTGTATACATTATAGTGAATTTGATTGAGTACGCATTGGTTTCTCAACACCGCACACAAGCAACATGTGAAGCGTGTGGCCGATCACGTCACAATGTACATATACGGAAATGTAGGGGGGAATTCTTATAATTCTAGTGATTGTTCCAGTATAACATCCGTGTTCATTCTAATCTTATCATCCACTTAAATCCAATCAAAACTTTTATGATAATCAATGTTAATGTTCCAATGGGAGTTGTAAAAATGAGACAACCAATTTAATTAATCATTAGCAAATACAGCCGCTAGATGGCGTGTTTTAGTGTCACACACTATTGGTATGTTGACGTTTCACCACAAGTTTCGTTACAAATTATTGCCATTAGTCTGATGTGTATAGTTTTCGTACGTATGAATTTAAATTCATTTAGACCGTGATAAAAATCTTTGTTGTTGCCAAACATGTGTTTTAAGATTGCTGAGCATCTCAGCAATGTGTATGTTGTTGCTGCGTGCAGCCACATCAACTGAACACATTTCGGTCGAGTCGTTGCGGCTGCACGTAGCAACACACGCCACTGTATTATACAGTATGCGTCGTCGATATGCTCGGATATATCCGTGCTTACGAAATGCTGAGATGCTCAGCAATCTTAAAACACATGTTTGGTTGTTGCTCGTTAAATCTTTCCGTTCGATATAAAATCAAGACAATTGAATGGTTCATTTTGAACATTCAGGCTACAAATTACATTCCGAAGATCAACATGGTGGACAAATTAACAGAAATTGCGAGAAAAGATTTACCTCTTCTAAGAACATTGTATACTCCTGATGGATCGAAAAACTACACTGCATTTACAACAGTTGATACTTACATTCGATGGTTTGAACAAGATCCAAATATAGAGCACATAATATTCTTCTATTTAAATGGAGATTTCTCCAATGGAACATTCGTGGTGACGGTAAATTCATCGAAGCATATTTTTTGTTATTTTATGCAACAAAATTGGATTTCTAAGTCCCTAAGATTGTTGTATGCGTGATTTGTGTGTGCGTGATTAACGTATTACGCACAACGTAAGTGTGTTTGTACAATACTGCTAGAATAAATGGAGCAGTCTCTGTGTTACCGTATGCAATATTAGGCAATACCGGTCAAAAGTCACACGCACATATGAATAGTTTGGAGCGAAAATGTTATACAGAAAAGTTGAGCGAAAAAATTTCAAATGAAAAGGGATAGTTCACTATAGTTTACTATACAGTTTACTATATAGCTATCCCTTTTCCGCTCATTCATCATCGAAATTTTTTCGCTCAACTTTTCTGTATTACATTTTCGCTCCAAACCATTCATATATGCGGTATTAGGAACTTGGTAATGAGTCTGTTGCGAAACCATGTTTCTTTTGATTAATAAAAATCTTTGAAATCCAATTAAAATAATGAAATCATTTTTCAGAACTACAATGATGCATATGCGGATACGTTTAATGAGTCACATGATAGGTTGTTTCGATTGCTACAACTAATTGATCACTCTAAAGCCGATGCATTTCGAGGTATTCGAACTGAGCTACGGCCAGTGTTTACGAATGCATTAAAAAATGTAAACGTTGAAGTTGAAGTTACTGATTTATTACAGCATTTTTTTACCAAAAAAGGACGCATTGGAATTGAATGTGCAGTAAGATGACAAGACAGTCGAATTATATTACTATGTTATTTAGTTATATACTAGCGCCACCGAACGCTTTCCAATAAAATTGTACCTATAATAATTAGATATGTATTAAGAAGACGAATTAGATCATCGGGGAAGCTAAGACCGAAAACAACTGTGGCGACGCGAGCGCCCTCAATTCAAATAGGAAAATCAATGTAATTTCGTAATTTTTTTCTGAACTAAACAGCGCGCCAATTTGAATTTTGTTGATGCTTCCACCCTATGAATTAGATTCATTAAAAGCGAAATACTACTCGTTAGTTTTTTTATTTAAAAAAAGAAACAAATCTTTGAAGTCGTGTACGATAAAAACCTTTAGGTCATATTTTGAAACAATCAAAATCGCGTACGATCACTCGGCAATCGTGTCACGATTGAAGACAATCGTCCACGATTATTCTACAATCGTGCACGATTACAATCGTGCGCCTTGGAACTAGTGCCTTAATGCATTTCTTTTTTAGATATCGTATAATGAGCCTCATTTTTAAATTCAGTGATGTTCATTATGAATTAGTTTATTTCGCACATTCAGACCACGAATAATCTTTCAAGAAGCAACGATCATGGTAGATAAATTAACAGAAATTGCAAGAAGAGATCTACCAATCCTGAAAAGTTTATACACTCCAGATGGATCCAAGAACTACATAGCATTTGCAACAGTTGATACTTACATCCGATGGTTTGAACAAGATCCCAATGTGAAACACATCAAATTTTTCTGTTTAAACGGAGATTTCTCCGATGGAACATTCGTGGTGACGGTAAGGGCCTAAGAGTTTTAATTTTTTCCATGAAAATAAATATTCGCATTCTGAATTTCACAATCTGATCATTTTTCGCCTCCTACAAAACTAAATCGCTTAATCAATTAAGGTCAACGACTACACTCAAATCGATAAAATGATTCAATTTATTTATTAAATTTGTTAGGCCACCCAAAGGAATCGAATTGCGACCGTTGACAGAGTCCCATGATGTGGACAAAGAAAACTCCGCATGGCCAAATTGTGATCAAAATTCACTTAACCGTTTGTCTGTAATAAGTCAAAAGTTACAAATGCTTTAATGTGGGGTCATATGGACCCCGACAAAAAATCGATAAAAATGGAACAAAAATAATTTTTTTCACAAAAATATCGTTTTGATCCAATAATTTAAGGCATTCTTCATCTTTTAAGCCTATTTTTGTCAATATTGACCCAAAAATAACTTAGATATGATGATTTTAAAATCATCGTACTAGTCCGCTATCTTGAATCATTTGGCAGATACACATTTTTGACGTTATTTCGCTTCATTTTCAAAAAATCTATGAATATTTGTGAAAAAAGTTTATGTTTTTTGAAAGGGCGTATCAAAAGGAATAAAATAAGTATAATATCGACATGGAAAAATATGGACCAATAAGATGTAATAATCAGAGAGGATAAATGGAGGTTCGGGCCTTGAGCCTCGGTTTTTGTCAATTTTTCGGATTCAAGCCTGAAAAACCCTAAAACGGCATTTTCAAGCCTAAAACGGTATTTTTAGCTCAAAATGGCATTCGTTGCGAAATTGGTGCAAATGAAACATCTGGGCGAAATTTGTTGGTATTAGAAATCAGTGTTATAATTCGTTATATTTCTTCACGCGCATGTACAGTAAAATACGATTACTTACAGATATTAATTTGGAGAAAAATAACTCATACTAAAAATGATTTGCATGATAATCAAAAAATAATCTGTTTCTGTTTATCGCTTTATAAACCGAATCGGATTAATCATTTCTGCTAACTGTATTGCATACATTGTATTCTCAACCAGCTGACCGCTAGACTGCCGAAAAATGGCAAAGAGCAATCAACGTGAATATTGTTTGGAGCTTATGTTTTTTTTTGTTCAATTGTAAACAAGACCAGATATCTTGATTTTGTGCATGCGACAAAATTTAAAACAAAGCAATCGACTTTGATATGAATTGGTGTTATATACTTGCATCGAAATCGATACTTATTCTCCCAAATGATTTATATTTTATTCTCATTGCCGAGTTGACTTTTATTGCGATCACTTCAAACTTTTACATTCAATTGATATGTGAGAACAACTTGGAACATGGGCAAACCAAAAGAAACTGTCAAAGAATTTTGTGCGCGTATGGTTGCCCAATATAAAGAAACATTTCGCACAGATAATTCGATTTTGTTGTGTAATTTTTGTGGAACAGCTTTGACCGGTCACAAAAACATCGAATGTAAAAGCGCACATTGATTCAAAAATGCACCAAAAGGCAGTTGAATTGGCAAATGCATAGGACAAATAGGAAAAAAAGCCAAACAAACACTCATAACCGATAGATAGTTACACGATGGGGAACATGGATAAATGCCGTTATCTACTACTGTGACAATTTTGCAGCGGTGAAATCTGTAGTTGCTACATTTGTTGATGAAGACGCAGACGCGATTGGTTTGGAAAAGGAAGCATTCGCTCATAATGACATTGAAACTGAATTTGCGTTCATTAAATGTAATTTCGCATCAATTGTAGCCGCAATTGTTAAGCTCGAAACGCAAGGTCTTCCATTGGCTGAGAGCATCGACACTGTCCAACCGATCGAAGCATACTTGAAACTATTGGCACGAGAAGAATTTTACGACAATTTTCAACAAGTGTTCAAAGTGCGAAATTGTGGCCACAAAAAACTGCTCGAAATTAACGATGTTTTGCAAAACAATATTCAGCCAACACAAGAATACGTCAAAAACTTGACTCCGCGTGAAATCGTACTATTTAAGTACGCACCAACAACATCAACCGATGTGGGAAGATCATTTTCTGATTTCAAAACTGTTTTCTCTGACCGACGCAAAAATTTTCTATTTGAAAATCTTAAGCAACATTTGATTGTTCAATGCAATCGAGAAAATAAATAAAATTTCGCTTTGTTATTGACAAAACTGGTTCATTTTGTGTTTTATTCTCTTTTTTAGCGAGCCTATTCTCGAGCCTTTCTATCCATTTTTCGAGCCTTTTTAGGCGCCTAAATCACGATTTTAAAAGCCTTAATTTATCCTCTCTGGTAATAATTCGATAAAAACTGGAATTTCATCAATTTAGGTGCCATTTGGAAGTGATCAAAACATTGAAACTACTTGTCGTATCTGAACAAAATATGACTCAAAATGAAGATAAAACTTCAAATTTTAAAAATATTCTTGATTTAATTAGATAAAATAAGATTTTAGCAATAATATGGGCACTTTAATTTGGGGTCCATATGACCCCATCTTACAGCATTTGTAAGTCTTCTCTTCAAGTCAGAATATCTCGGGTTTTTATGGACCGATTTTGACAAATAAGTGCTCAAAATGCATGTTTCAACTAGATTGAAGATGTCAATAAATTATAACATCATACAACTTGAAATTGAAAAGTTATAGCGAATTTAGAGTATTTGGGGTCACATAAACCCCACATTACAGACAAACGGTTAAAAACAAATTCAACTTCAAAACTAATTTTAGGATCATAATGTTGCGTTTGCGGACACGTTTAACGAATCTTATGACCGATTGTCTCGATTGTTACAACTGATTGACTATTCGAAAGACTACATATTCCAAAATATTCGAGCAGAACTGCTGCCAGTGGTCACAAATGCCCTAGAAAAAGCGAACGTACCCGTCGATCATTGTATTGAATTTTTGCTCTATCACTTGACACAAGAAAAGGCATTGAAATTGGATGTGCAGTAAGAAATTGCCACTATATTGGAAGATCAACATTGAAAGGTTACTTGAAGAAGGAAATTTTTTCTAGGCCACCCAAAGGAATCGAGTTGCGGTCGTTGACGGAGTCCGATGTGGAAAAAGTGATCTCGGTATGGGCACATTGTGATCAAAAGACAATCCCATTAATACAAGCAATGGCCAAGTACAATCCAAGTGTCGGAGCACTTACGGAGGATGGAACTCTTGTTGCATGGGCACTTCGGTGAGTGTATAATCTTTGAAATAACAGACATGCATCCCGCTTTTTGTCTCGAAAAATTCGGTTTTCAAAACGTTTCATGTCAAAAATAGATCCTTAAAAGTATTTCTCATCACTAAAATTGATTTTGTTTTAGTTATCCAACCGGTCTCATTGCAGCCTTACAAACAGACGAACTTTTCTTTGGCAAAGGGTTTGGAGGATTAGCGCTTAGATGTATATCGAAGAAAATTGCCGAACTGGGCCATCATGTTTTTGGTGCTGTATCGGAAAACAACGCAGCCTCTATATCACTGTTACACAAACATGGATTCAAAATGATTAATGTTTTGCATCTGATTTATACTAAAGTCACGTGAAATTTAACTTTTTAACTGACGAATGAATAAAATCAAACGAATAACTTAGAAAAAAGAACTTTTGCTAGAATGCAATCCATTTTCGATTGAGAATAAATTAATTACTAAAGAATTAAATGGATCTGATGTAGATAGTGTTTTTAACTTTTTTTTATGTTGGAATTTGTTTCTGTAACTTATATAACCGTGATCCTCGTCATTAATTTTGATGTGTGATCAGTCATTTTTTTTCATGATCATAGGATAGTCGTCATGAAGGTTATTGTGAATAAGTCAGTTTCGCTATAAATTAGTTCATTTGGTACGTTCATACTACGAATCACTCTCTGAAATTCGATATGGCAGACAAATTGACGAAAATTACTAGAAAAGATTTACCTCTACTAAGAACTTTGTATACTCCTGATGGATTGAAGAACAATACATCATTTACAATAGTTGAAACTTACATCCAATGGTTTGAACAAGATCTCAATGTGTGACACATAATTTTTTTTTGTTGGAACGGTTTTTTCGGATGGAACATTTGTCGTAACGGTAATGTCAATTTACAGGCCGAATAAGGAGGGATTGAATTAAATTATCTAAATAGAGAACAGTCTCCTACTGTTTTTCTCTGTTTGTGATGGTTGAATGCCTCTTTTTGAATTTCTTTTCATACCTTCCCTTTAATCATCGATAAAAGCCATTTGTTGAATTTGAATACCTATTCAGAGTTCCCCTACTAAAGTTTCTGAGCTTGCATGCAAACGGAACATTTTATTTTGTCGCATTTTGAATTTTAAAGCCGTGATTACAACAACAATATACTTCTCTCTTGCGTGCAACCTTCTGAAATGTCTCTTTTGCGTGCAACTGATTTTTATCCCGCTTTTGCGAAAAACCTGGTAGCGTCAGTCTTTTATTCTCACGCGTTCAATTATACTAATGATAAGAATATAAATGATAAAAATAATCTAAAGAACCTCCGAAACGATTTCGGTATCAAAATTATCCCGAAAGAGGCGCCGCATGTCCATAACAACAAATCAGACTTTATATAACACATATACAGACGAATCCCCACTCTTTTCACAGTTGCGACCGATGTGTACTGTGGCTGAATGCCATTGCATCGCTACAATTGCGAGTGTATATTGGTCAACAACATACCGTTAGGTTTTGGTTCTCAATTATAAGATTTCAAATACTTTACACTCGCACACACAAAGCAACACGCTCAAAACATTTAAACACCGATACGGTGTCTTCATGAAATACTGCGTTTCATTTTTCTGAATAATTTGAGTTGGTGCGTCGTACGAAAATTGTTAGATGCTACAATATGACTTGTTGCCTTTTTCACACAACCGTGAGCAGTGAGCAGCACTGTGAGCAATGGCAATACAAATAAATAACTATTCATTTCAATACGTATTGGTCTACCTTCCCTCAAGCCGGTATTACGCACGCACATCGAAGTGCGAAAGAGACAATCGATCATATTATACTATCGTTTATCTTCTGTATTACGCATTACTAAAAATGATACAGAGAGAGACAGATGCCGAAAGATATAATGAATGCGGACACTGCATTGGTATTTGTGTATCTCTGTGTGGGGAACAACGTAAAATCTGTGTAGTTGTTGATGTTTACTAAAATGAAACACGAATCGGAGCACCAAAGCGACCTCTGAAAAGATTTTTTCCATAGGGCAGAAATCGATCGGTTTTTTACGGAAGTACTTTCAATCTGGTTTGAACAGTGTTGGTTGCTCTTGTTTACTTTCAAGTGAAAGAAGAATTTGGTTCACTCTGGAGTATAGAGTCTACGCGGATGGGTTCAATTTTTCTTGATACAGCGTCAGACAATTCTTTTTCTTGATTATAATCCACTGAAGATTTATGCACGTAAAGTGATAATTGCATACAAAATCCCACTTCATATACATAGAGCACCAACTTTACCCCATTTCATTTTCTAGCCAATATGTGTACAAATTTGGAGACACTAAATTGTTGGTCTTCTCAAACTATACAACTTTGCAAAAGACAATCATCGTTAATCAGTTGAAATAAATGAATTATTAGAAGATTTCCCACTGCTTGAACACCTACTCTATCTTACTCGCACAAATACAAATACAAATACAAATACTTTTTCCAGCCTCTCTGATCGTCTGTACAAATAGATAGGAAACGTCAAACAAGAACAATAAAGCGGCACCTGGCGACTGGTTGGAGAAATAGAGAATCATGCACATAGTTTACTGTAACAAGTATGCGTCTGTGTTAGTTCAAACGTTGAAAGTATGACACATTGCACTTAGTCCCCAGGTGCCGCTGTATTGTTTACTATTTTCATGATCAGAAAGGTTGACTTTTTCCAATATAAAGTCTGTGAAACATACAATACTCTCAATTTCACCCATAGATATAGGTTGTGTTGGTGCAGAATGCGACAGTGACAGAATTTTTGTTTTTGTTTTATGTATCCCAGATTTTAGGTACTTATTTTCGTGTGTACATTCATTGAAATTAAAAAATAGTTGAGAAGCTGTCTCTTTTTTTATGGAAAGTGTTATCAAGTACGGCTATGGTTTCGTATGAGATTCGCTTGCCAGCGTTTTTACTTTATTCATTGATGAAAAGTAAATACGATTCCGTATTTTCTGGCATTGACTAACACTGTAGCTATTGCAATTGTTCATGAACAAACCAACGCAACCATGGTACGAAGGCCTGAATGTAAGGCAAAGGTATATCGTTTGATCATTCAGCATGTAAGTGATGGTTGAAACGGAATGTGTTCTATGCATACCGCGAAAATGTAAACATATCCATATTCAGATAGCTTTGTCAATTGTACACCACTCAACGCTTCAATGGTGAAAAATATTTACTTTTTGAATATTTACATTGAATTTGCAGTTAAATGTTCATGATCCAATTGGATTATTTTTCAAACCATAGTGAAGGTAGTGAAGGACTGAATGTAAACATCTAGCATTTTCGATGCGATCCATATGATGTGGAACGCTAAATTCTGCACACGTGTACAGGTGGAATTGTAATTCCATCAATTGTTTGACATTGTTTTCTTGAAAAATGTGTGCGATAATATTTTGTGAGCTCTAATTAGAATTGTCTTTGTATGTGGATTGAATTATA